AAAGTTGCCCACTTCTTGCCAGTATCGATGAGTATGTCTTTGGATCGGTTGGCTGAGATTTATGTCCGTGGGATCGTTCGACTCCATGGGGTACCTGTTACTGTTGGGTCAGAAAGAGACCCCAGATTCACCAGTAGATTCTGGAAGAGTTTACACGAAGCAATGGGTACGAAGTTAGCATTCAGTTCAGCCTACCACCCCGAGACTGATGGACAGACAGAGCGGACTATACAGACGTTAGAGGATATGTTACGCGCCTTGACTGTTGACAGGGGTGCTAAATGGGAGTCTTTATTGCCGTACGTCGAGTTTGCGTACAACAACAGTTATCATTCTTCTATTCCGATGGCTCCTTATGAGGCACTATACGGTCGTAAATGTCGTTCCCCTCTTTATTGGGACGACGTCGGAGAACGTCAAGTACTCGGCCCGAAACTGATCGAGGAGACAGCCGAGCAAGTCGAGTTGATCCAGCAGAGACTCATAACAGCTCAGAGCAGAATGAAATCCACCGTCGATCATCAAAGACGAGATATTCAGTTCAAGGTTGGCGAGCACGCTTTTCTCAGAGTTAGTCCATTTCGCGGAGTTATTCGATTCGGGAAGAGAGGGAAGCTACACCCTCGGTTTATTGGCCCGTTCGAAGCGAGTGGGCGATGTTGCGTATCGTTTAGCCTTACCTCTCGAGTTATCCAGTGTTCACAATGTTTTTCATGTATCTATGTTACGCAAGTACGTGTGCGACCCCGATTATGTCATTCCTCATACTAATATTGAGATTCATCCAGACTTATCTTACAAGGAGCGACCAGTAGCTGTGTTGGACCGACAGTTTCGACGGCTCCGGAAGCGTAATGTTCCCCTCGTTCGTATTCAGTGGGATCGCCACGGAGCTACTTGGGAGCAGGAGGCTGACATTCGCGCTCGCTTTCCCGACTTTCAGTTTTGATATGTAAATTTTTCATGTATATATGTTTTGTTTTATATTTCCGAGGACGGAAATATTTTAAGGAGGGTAGATTGTAATAACCCAACTCGTTGTTAATAAGAATGATGTATTATCTTTTATCGATTCCGTTCATTTTCAGCGAATACGTTCGACGTTAAGTCGAAAAGTTTATCCGGTTAATTATTAACCGAGTCCAATTGATAATTAGTTTCCGAACCGTTTATTTTATAAACGGACATTACTAATCGGGATTAATTATTAATAGCCTAGCATGTTCGGAAATTAATGTCAAAGTTATATTAAGTCATGAACGTACTAAGGAACACTTAGCACGCACGCGTATACGCATGCCGTGCATACGACCACGCACGCAAATGCGCACCGCGTGCATTGTCGCGCACCGCGCATCGCGCGCACCATCAAGCGCCTTAAGCATGCGCTTATGATTCTTTAAGCCCTATGATCAAGGTTAAGTAATCCAAACTTTAAGCTTTCAAGTTGCCGTGAAGAATTTTCAAAGGAAGGAGTTTGGGTGCAAGTTGTGCCTATGACTCACCTAGGTGCTTGCACACATGGCGCACCACGGATGCACGGGCGATGACTAAGCCCGTGCACGGCCGCCACCTCGGCTATGACTAAGCTCAAGTGTCCCACCTCAGCACACGTGTAGAACACTTGGAGTTAAGGGGAGAGTGCATCATCCATCACCTCCTTGACTTCACTTTCACCTTCGGTTTTCACTCCCATAAATTACCGTACGTGCAAGGTGAGTTCTTATGCATTTTCCTCATGCAAAACCGAGTGTTCTTCAGCAAGAAACAAAGAGAAAAACAGTAAGGAAAAATAAGAGAAAAATAGTAAAAAATAGCTAAGGAAGGCGGAAGTATAAAGGAAGCTAAGGCGCACACGTTCAAGCACCGAAACCGCACGCAAGTCATCGTGCAATCTTCGACCGAACTGAAGGGTATACCCCTATTTACCTTCTGTTTATATAGTTAAGCTCATTGTAAGGAGATCATGTCAATGTCAAGTCGTTCGGTCCAAGTTCTTTTAGCAAAATGGCACTCGGAGGTACTATATAAGCCCTCCCGAGTGATTTCGGTTTTTAACCGGCAAGTCCCGAACGCTTATTGCATAATTATGTTATTTAAGTCAAAACATGATCAGTCATATGTGGACTGCCGGAGAAAGTAGCCGGACGGCCGGCGAAATGCCGACCGTG